TATTTAATTAATTAAATACGTTTGTTTATTTATTTAATATTTAATATAATTATAATTTGGCACTGATCAGCCTCCATACAATAATTCGTAGTTTAGCTGTTTCATGATAAAAACGCAGGTTCTGATAAGTTGTCTTTGTCCTGGTGGTCTCCGTGTCCTCAGGTTTSGGTCCCGGGCGGTACCGGGCCAGCTGTGTGGACGGGCTCATGTTGGTACCCCCACCCCGCGCAGCTCTGCAGTGGTACATTCCGGGATGTTCAGCTCTCTGACCGGCGAACAGCCTTCATCAGTACCAGCAGCAGCCGCAGGCAGACTCCCGGAGCCCCGCCGGTCCGTTCCGTTCCGTTCAGTGGCACACAGCGAGTCCCAGCATGAAACAGGTTCTGAGCGAGCTGAGGAGGACGAGCCGGATCTGCCGAATGGTTCTGGCTACTTGTTTGGGATCTTTTATTCTGGTCACCTTTTATTTCCAAAGTATGTTTCAACCAGGTAGGACCTCCCTCCCTCTCTCTCTGTCTCTCTCTCTCTGTGTGTGTGTGTGTGTCGCATCTCCGGTCCTTATGTCTGGACCGGGTCGGACCGGCTCCATCTGACAAGTAGGCTGGTGGGGCGGGTGTGAGGGGGAGGACCAGGCTCGGTTTGAGGAAGATCTTCAGGTAGTGTCTGCAGCTCCGCCCGAAGCAAAGCAAACAAAGAGTCTTTTGATTAGTTTAGACATGATGTGGAATCAGGACATGTGCTTTGGACGGGTCCAACAGAACCCAGCAGAGGGCTGCAGGTTCGGTGGCAAGCTGCTTTGTCTTTGTTTTTTTTCTTGTGTGGGCTTTGTTACCACAGCAGTGGTCCTGGTGGGTCTGCAGATCCAGCTGGRCTGGTTCTGGACTCAGATTTGATCTCAGTGAGGAAGCTAGAACCTCTGGTTCTGGAGACATCCTGGCTGGACCGGATCAGGRCTGCTGGTTTTGCTGGTTTTGTTGGCTCAGAACCCTCATTAGTTGTAATCTCCTGCAGCTCCAGCCACATGCTGCACTGCTGCAGACCTGAGGTGTGTGGAACCGGCAGGTGGTTCTGGTTCTGTAAACAGAAAACTCAGACTGGGTCTGGTCAGGGATCAGAGATTAAAGAGCTCGTTTCACCAGTTTACACTMGTTAAACCTGGTGAGATTTTTCTGTTTTCTGTTCAGAAAAAGGACGGAAGAAAAGATCATAAAAACTTTTAAACAGAAGAAACCAAAGGAGCAGATTAGGTCCAGTTTTAGAGAAGAATCTGAAGTTCATGGATCTGACTTTGACGGCCTTAAAAACTGTTTAATGAAATATCTTTTCTTTACTTCAGTGAAGAAAAGATCACTTTTAAAACTTTCTTTTGAACTTTTCACATTATACATGTGGAAAATATCAGACAAATTTGTTTCATTCAGAACAAATTGATGATTCAAAAATCAAAAAGAAAAAAATCGTATAGGCCTTCTGGACGGGTTCTTCTCTAATGAAACGTTTCGTCTCTCCTCCAAGAG